CCGTCCATTTGAGCAGAAGCCCAGGCTCTGCCTAACAAGAAGGTGACCCGGCAGGGAAGCAGCAGGACAAGCAGGATGGTTCCACCTCGGGATCCGGGAGGCTCCTCCTCCATGGGGGCAGGGTTGTAGCAGCCCTTTGTGACTCACTTTGACATTTACACGTTACTTATGTATTCTGCCTCAGTCCAATTTCACAAGAGATATCAAGGTATCTATGAGAACGTGGCAGTTTGGGTTTTGGGTTTGGGGTTTTTTTTGTTTTTTTTCGTTTTTTTTTTCATTCTCCCTGAAAATGAAGAAACAGGATCCAGGCATCCTAAGATGGAGCTTCATTTAATGAGTCTTAGAAAATCCTCAAAGAACACCAGGACAGAATGAATGAGAGGAGATGGATAGACAACCAGAAGAGGGAGGGACTTGGGAGGGGTGCGGGCCTCTGAAGACCTGTCAGGACTCCAAGGTCTGCATGGCTCTCTGTGGTCCCCTGGGGGTAAGAGCAGGTCAAGAGGGAAGGTGGCCCTGCCATCACCTTGGTGTCAAAGGCAGCAGCATATCCCTTAGCTCCGTTCTGCATCCCCTGTACCCCAGTTCAGGACCCACCAAGACCAACCCAGTGAGTCAGGATTTCCCAAACAGGAAACGCTTACCAAGAAGCTGAGGATGTTAAGGACAGCAAGGAAGGGGTCTGCTAACCGGACATGTCAACCCAAGGCCCTGCTACGGGGAACAATGTGAGGCGGTGGGAGGTGAAGCAGTTGGCAGTCTCGGTTTCAGGTTTCGAAAGACCAGTGGGGGCAAGCGTCCACCACTACTCCTGTCTTCTCCCCTACTTCTTGCTGTATTAGCCATAGACCCATAGATAGACTCGGGGTCACCTGCCCCTCCATTCTGACTTCCGCAGAGACCCCGCACAGAGTTAGACCCGGAGCCCGAGGCTGACCTCTCGGAAAGAAGCAAGACAAGCTCTTCAACTTCAGGTCTTGCTCCACCTCCCACTCCGCCCCAAGCCGGAGAAAGCAGATGAGTCAGGTATGGCGCCAGGTGAGGGCAGAAAACGAGGCTCGCTGCGGCTTCCGGAGCCTGGCCTGCCCCGCCACCCCACACCCACACACACACCTGG